TTGATCGGAGCGCGCTCCGGCTGCGCCGCCGCAGGGTGCACGGCCGCCGGCTCCAGCGGCCGCCCACAGTCGTCCTCGCTGTCGCCCGCCAGGCCCAGGCGCTGCTGCTCGCCCTCCGCCTCATCCTCGCCGTCCCCCCCCTCGCCCGGCAGCTTGATGCTCAGGCGGTACTTCTGCAGGTGGCTCTTGATGTGGTAGATGGTCAGCCCCGACACGCGCATCAGCTTCAGGATGCCCTTGGGCGTGGCTTTCTCGGGGCCGCCCAGCTGCGAGACCGCCCGGGCGAAGCTGGCGTGCAGGCTGGGCGTCCAGCGCAGCCGCGACTTGCTGTTGGATGGCCCAGAGTCTGTGAAGGGTGCGTGGGGCAGGTGTGGACTGCTTTGTGCATGTGAGGGCTGCCATGCTGCTGTGAGGCAAAACGGTGATACCCTATCAGCAATGGCTCCCTTCCCAGGCTGCAGATGAGGAAGCCAGACGCTGCACCCAGTGCCCACACCACAGACGCACACCTTCGAACTTGAAGTTGTCTGGCCCATCAGACATGCCGGGGGCCGTGGAGGAGGCGGGTGACCCGCCGATGGGGAGGGCCAGGGGGTGCAGATACACGCCGTAGGGGTGAAGCGCGGCGGCGACACCAGGGGCAGAGGAGCCAGGCCCGGGACCGAGGCCCCCCGTCCAGCCGGTGCCTGTTGCAGATGTGCTGGCCTGCATTTGCTGTGGATGGGAGGACACGGCAGGGGTGGCTGCTGGCCACGGGGGCGCGGTCGGAAGTCGCCGGGCACGTATTGCCAGAGCCTTTGGACAGCGCGTCGAACGGGCCGCACGAGCCCCCGCGCCAGGGCTTACCTGCGCCCAAGACGGCTCAAGAAGGCTGTTGAGCAGGAGGTCCCTGTCCGGGCCCTTCATGGGGGAGCCGAAGCCATCCAACGGTGCGCCGAGGCCCCAGTCCAAACCCGCGAGCAGGCGGACGTCCTGTTCAGGCTGCGGCCAGTACTCCACATTCGCGCGCTGGCCTGGCAGTCCGGGCAAGCCCTGGCCACCTTCGTCATCATGTTTCATGTCACCGAGGGAAGGGGGATCGCATACGGACCAGTGAACGGGACAACGGCACGTGCAGGGAGCTGACGCCCTAGAGCTGCGCCTACTGCCGAAGGAGCTTGACAACGCCCGCTCCGCCCTGGGGGCGGAAGAAATGTTGGGGTACTGCTCTGAGGCCTGCGCAGGCAGCCGAGCCAGCCAACTTGTTCCGCGGGGCACCACGGATGCACTCAACCCTATTTCCCGCCGAAAACCACGTGGGCCGAAATCGTAAGGGGAGGTGGTAAGGGACCCTTTCCCCTTACATGGCCCCATCGGTGCAAGCTGAAATACGTCCAGTGCCAGCAGTCTGGAGCTGTTTCTTGGTTCCTTCAGCTTTCACGGGAGCTCATATGCATGGGCAGCCTGTGGTGGGTTGGCTGGTACTATGTGTCTGTGTGGTGAGAAGGTTGCCACTCCGATGTTATGATGGTCACAGTGAGGGTGACAGCTCTCCTAGGATATACCATGGGGTAAAGGTATCCTCCTCTGGTTGGTATGGGCTGCACTCGAGGGATTAGACCTCGCTGGGGAAGTTTGTGTGACTAAAGCGTTGCTCCTGGGCGCCAAGGGGCGCGAGTGGATCAGGTGCGGGAGGAGTCCGCCTTTCTCTCGCACAGACACCCTACCAGCCGAGAAGAAACACGACGCCTGCACCACTCAGAACTAGATACAGTTGGGAGCAGTTGACATTGAGCACCATGATGTCCGCTGTGAGTGGCGCCTTCGCTAACCTGCGCATCTCAAGCCGGCCGAGAGCCCAGCTTAGTTTCAAGGCGTCAGTCTGCCCGGGATCTATGCTAGGTAAATAGAAGAAACCTCTGGCTGATTATTTGCTAATGCATGGCCGGTGGTGCTCTGTATCGCCTCAAGCCTTGCCCCCCTCCCACTTCTCGCAGTGCTCCCCCGTCCCGGTGTGGCTCGCTCGGCCCTCGCTTTCCTGGTCGAAGCCAAGCAGAACTCCCTCAGACGCGAGCGTACCTCGGAAAAGGCGCGGCTACGAAACAAGGGGCGGACCTCGGAGATCAAGACCCGCATCAAGAAGGTGGGGCCTAAAGAGGGGGGCGTGGAGCGATACAGGGAGCGGGGCGACACACTGGTGCAAGTCCAAATCTAGAGATTGGTTCAAATCTCTGACACTGACCGAAGTGACTTGCCCCTGTTTCCTGGATCCAACCCACATACTCCCACGCCGCCCCACAGGTGCTGACGGCTGTGGATGCGGCCCAGGCCGACCTTCCGAAGGCCGAGTCGGACCTGAGCGAGCTCGCCGCGCTGATGAGCGAGGCGTACCGGGTGATCGATAAGGGCGTGAGTAAGGGCGTGCTGCACAAGAACACGGCCGCGCGGCGGAAGGCCCGGATCGCACGCGCCAGGCAGAACCTGCTCATCTCTGCGGGCCTGTACAAAGCCCCAGAGAGCACCCCCGACGTCCCGGAGGCCAGCCTGCCTTCGGAGAATGACGGCATCTCTCCCTCTGAGCTCACCCTGGTGCGTTGATGGGTTTGTCGGGGCATGCCCCTCACGCTCAACTGTACACATATCTCTCATCTGCCAGGCTGGGAAGGGGGGTTCAACTCGGGGACCTCATGCTTGGGTGGCTTGCCGGGGTCAGGGCTGAGACCGGGCTGAATCCTTGCTCGAGAGCGAGGGGTATCAGTATCTTTGGGTCGTCGCTATCATGATGCATTGCATGGTATTCAGCCAGGTCGGTTTGGACCAGGGCACCTTGCTGCTTTACCTGTGCCAGTGGCTAGGGAGCCATGCCTGGCCAATGAAAAATGCTGCACTACCGCCGCGCCGCAGCAGGGCGCTACACTGCGCGTGCTGCCCCGCTCACGCCGCTGCAGCGGCGGAGGTCGCCTGCTGGGCGGCCGCCTTGAGCCCTGCCGCCTGCACCGCGGTGCCTGCAGCATGGATTGGGTGGCGAGCGGCGGCTGAGAGGGGAAATTGTGTAGTTGCAGTCCCACCAAGCAGGGCATCCAAAGCTTGGGTGGACCGCCAGCACGTAAAAATACCCAGGCCGGGTGGCACCCAGGAGGGAACGTCGAGGCTGGGATGTTTGACCGGACTCGGGCTGCATGACCGTTGATGAACAGTACACTTAAAAAAGGCTCCCCCGCTTTCATCTGGGAGCAGCCCCTGCTCCCAACCACCCCCCATTTAACCCCCCCTCTCCACCCAATTCCCACTCACAGGCCACGGTGTTGACGATGTCTGCCACGGTGCACCCGCGGCTGAGGTCATTCACGGGCCTGGCCAGGCCCTGCATGAGTGGCCCGATGGCGATGGCCCCCGTGGACTGCTGCACCGCCTTGTACGTGTTGTTCCCCGTGTTGAGGTCCGGGAACACGCACACAGTGGCCCGCCCCGCCACCTCGGACCGCCCCTTGACCTTGGTGGCGGCCACGCCCGGGTCCACCGCCGCGTCGTACTGGATGGGCCCCTCGATGGCCAGGTCGGGGCGCGCGGCGCGCGCCAGCGCGGTGGCCTCCGTCACCAGGTCCACCTGCGGCCCGGCGCCCGACCCCAGTGTGGAATAGGAGAGCATGGCCACACGGGGCTCCACGCCAAAGGCCGCGGCGGTGTCGGCGGAGGTGGTGGCGATCTGGGCCAGCTCCGCCGCGGTCGGCTCCACGTTCACCGCACAGTCGCCGTAGACCAGGACGCGGTCGGGGAGGCACATGAAGAAGACGGAGGAGATGAGGCGGCGGTCGGGGGTCTTCAGCACCTGGAGCGCGGGGCGGATGGTGTTGGCCGTGGTGCAGGTGGCGCCAGACACCATGCCGTCCGCGTCCCCCATTGCCACCATGATTGTGCCTTTTGGTTGGGGGGAGGGGGGGGGGGGGGTATTAGGGGCCTGAGGTCGGCCTGATGGACTGCATGGGTGCGAGAAGAGACGGAGGTACATTTCTGGGGTGGGTGGGGGACGTCTGGTCAGGGCACGGGTGGCACCAATTTGGCAAACCCCATCAAATAGTAGTGGCTGCCTGGAAGAGGCAGGGCAGCTCCTCTCTTCCCCCACCCCCTTTCCAAGGCTCTCCCCCCCCTCAATGCTTACCAAACATGTTGATGTCGGTGAGCTGGTCCAGGGCCGCCGCCTTCGTGAGCGCCTTTTTCTTCCGCGCCTCCACCAGGAAGTCGGCGTAGGCGTCGAGGCGCGTCGAGGAGCGGTGGTCCTCCACCTCGCAGCGCGACACGTCCACGTTGAAGCGCGCCGCCGCGGCGGCCACCTCCCCCGGCTCGCCCAGCAGCGTGACGCGCGCGATGCCGCGCGCCGCGACCTCCGCCGCGGCGCTGAGCACGCGGTGGTCGTGCGCCTCGGGCAGCACGATGCGCTGCGGCGCGGCGCGACACAGCTCTTCGATCTGCCAGACGAAGCGCTTGGGCGTCAGGCGCGGCTCGCGGTGCACCGCCATACCCGAGGCCACAGCGTCGACGTCCACGTGCCGCCCGAACAGAGCGCGAGCCTCGCGCACCTTGCGCACCGAGGTGGGCAGGATGCCCGGGTTCACGCGCGCCATGCGCCGCGCGGTCTCGAACGCGCCGTGCGGCACCTCCAGCACCGGCAGCGTGTCGGGGCCCAGCCGCGCCATGATGGCGTGGACCGGGGGGGTGATGGCGCACGCCCCGCCATCGCACAGCACCAGGCCGCCCAGGGGCGGGCAGGCGCCGGACAGGCTGGCCGCCGCCAGGCCCAGCACCAGGTCCTGGCGGTCCTTGGTGGTCAGCACCAGGGGTCGGAAGAAGGTCTGGCCCTCCGCCTCGCGCTGCGCGCGGATCGCCTCCAGCTTGTCCAGGAAGCCGTGCACCGACTGGGCCGCCACCATGATTCCAGTCACGTCTGGGGAGGGGAGAGGGGGGGGGAGAGGGGGGAGGGTTGTCAGGTGGTCAAGGGGTGGACGGACTGGCGTTGTGGAAGGTGGGTTTCAAGCTGGAATGCGCCTCATGCCGGTGCAGGCCGCCGGGGCAGGCAGAGATGCAGGCGAGGGGCTGTGCCAGGCAGAGGTATGAGCCCAGCTCGTGTGGCATGGACTCGAGATAGGTGCAAGCCTGCCCCAACTCTACCCCCAAAACGATTGTCCTCACGTCCTCCCCACACACCAGAGTCGATGAGCTCGGGGCGGCCGTATATCTGCTTGGCGCCCAGTGCGTTTGCAAACTCGTTCACCCTGCGTGTTGAGAGCGCAAGGGGGCGACTAGGTCAGGCTGCGCATGCGCTGGGAAGTCACTCAATGAAGTCCCCAGGCAGCACCAGGCAGCTGTCGGGCCGGGCTGCCAGTCTGCCACCGCCGCCCTGTCACCGTGTCACCCAAAGTACAATGCCTCGCCCTGTTGCTGAGCGAGCACGGCATGCAAATCACCCCAGCCCCCCGCCGTCCGCCGCACGTATTGCCGCCCGCCCAACCTTGCGGTGCCGATGATGCGGTCGTAGGGGATGCCGCCCGCAAAGGTCAGGCCGGAGTCCGCCAGCTCGGCAGCGACGCCCGACACGATGTCGGCGTGGGCGGCGAGGGGGACCTTGTTCAGCAGCAGGCCCAGGACCGAGGCGCGGTCGGCCTGCAGCTCGCGCCTGTGGCGCAGCGCGCGGCTCGCGATCTCGGAGGCGGTGCCCGGATTGTCGCGATTCAGGTCCATGATCTAAGGGGGGGGAGGCAGGTGGAGGGGAGGGGGGGGGGGCCCTAAGGTCGAGAAGAGCGGAGGTACGA